CAAGATATTTCCATAAAAGATTAAAAAATTCATCTTGTCTGGATCACCCGAGTATTTATCAAACTTAGTCCTCATATTCTTTCCCATAAGTTTAACAGATACAGATTCAGCTCCCACTAGATCATTTAATATGCAACATTAATCAGAAACTTCAGAGAAGAATGTATTTGAAGTTACATACAAAGAACCAGATATCCTAACAGACATATCATAAAATGATTTCAAAATTTTCACCAATCCAGCTATTGTTTCCCAATCCATGAAATCTGGTAAATTCCCACTCCCACCCAAATCAGAACTAAAAAAGAAGGGTCATGATCTTCATAAACTTCAAAAACTTTTTGATAGAGCAAAGCAGTATGAAACATCATATATGTTGAGTTCCACCTTGTAGGAACATCAAGAACCAATGAGTTTCTTGCTTCCACCCCAATTCAGTCAGCAAGGTCTCTAAATTTTTGGAGCTTAGCATGGGAGTTTCCATATACCTACCACCAAATTAAGGATGTGAGCAATGCATCGCATATGCAAATTTTTACACCTTACAGCAGAAGAACCCCAAGAGGGAGGTTGTATCCAAAACCCCAAGATCTGATTAAGAGAAAAATACATCTCCTAATCAGATCTTGATCAAATATCCTAAACCCCTTCAGCACCTTCTAACTCAGTTAAAGTAGAACTAAGGGCAGGAGAGAATGTGAGAAGAGATTGTCTAGTATCCTTAGGGTGAGGATTCTTTAGGCAACTTAATATGTGATTTCTCAAAGAAGAAGCCCCATGTTTCTTAGACTCACATGCAAATAACTTTACACAATATAAGCACTTGGCTTTGATGGCAATGCCCTCATTGGTTTTTACTTTTTCGAAGTGATCCCACACAGGAGATCTGGTTTCAACATCTTTTCTCTTTTTAGGAACAGATGGAGGCAATGGTTGCTGAGATGTATTTCTCTCTACAACTTTTTATTCTAGATCATGTTCTCATGTTCCACATTTTGTGAGGGAGGTTGACTTCCATACACATCAACACTTTCCATCTATAACGTATAGTAGGAAAGTTTTACTGTATTAGGAATCAGACTTCCAGAAACTAGGGCATGTCATCATTCATAAACATAGTTCTGTTAATTGCACATTTCATCATGTATGCAAATTGGCAGATTCCAAAAATTAAGGGTCGCATATCCATAAACTTGCACATTTTCACACTTGAACATTACAAAATACAAAGAAATCCATAATCAGGCATTCAAGCAAAGTAGGCAAACATCTACTTTATAATGCTCATCATTTATATGGATTTCAAACTTAGGGGCTAGGACTTCCGCAAAATCAGGGGCAATTTATATGGATAAACATGCACAGTTGCATATAATCAGCATACTATAACACAAATAAGGGGCTTCCACACTCCACATTACCACCAACTCAGTTAATCAAGGATTCAGGGACATGCAAACTGGAAAATACCTTACTAGAACACATGGGTATAATATCTCAAAAACATAGTCAACTGAGTCAAGGGACATGCAAACTAGAACTTTCAGAATATAATAAAAATCCCTAGTATATCAATATAAAAACCCTAGTATTCTCAGAAAAAACACAAAAGATAACACTGAGAAAAATTAGAAAATATATCAATATCAGTATATCATACTATCACAGAATAACGAAAAAGTAAATTACGGTTTAACATTTACTTCGCTTCTAAAAAATAATCCCTGAGCACAAAGGGCTTCGATTCCTAACCAGCAAACTGCAATCCACAGGTCACCAGAGTCCACAGGTCACCGGAGACTAGGGCTTCCACCGGATTCACGGATTCAGGGACTAGGGCTTCCACCGGAGACTCTAGTTCTGAGACTCTAAGAGAGAACTCATAGAAGGGCAGAAGAAAGAACGAGAGAATAATCTGAGAGACTGAGTTTCAGAGTCTAAGACAGTGAAACTGAGAGATGAGAGAAGAGTCGCAAAGTTTAAAACCAGAGAGTAAAGAGCCAAAGAGCAAAGAGAGAACGAGAATTCTCTGGAAGACTCGAGACTCAATACTACGCAAATGAGAGATAAGCTAGGGTTTTCCGCTTAACATCAATATATATAGTAGACTAAATGCCCCCAACCCGATTTCTATTACCTGCCTATTTCAAGCAATCGGATTGGATAATAACATTCGGGTTCAGTCTAAGACAAACAAGGCCGTGTCGATTCTCGAGTCGGGCAGGTATGTCGGTTTGGTTGGATCCTGCTCAACGCTACTTCAATGCACACCCGTGCAAATTTCCCTTTAGAAACGAGGCTTGTAGCATTGTCCACTTTAATGGGGCGGCCAAATTTGTTCCCAATCTTCATTAAGAACTCTTCATTAAAGTATTCGATAGGTAGTGAAGGAAATCGAACCCAGACTAGGACTTTTTCAATCTTGTCATTCAATAGATCGAAGTTCAGCGCCCATTCTTGGACGACTAGGTAATGATCCAATATCATCTATGGTCCTTCAAATTTGGCGAAATCATAATCTTGCAGTGCATCGACCTTAGCCAGAAAATAATCGTGATCTAACACAATAAGCTCGAAATGTGCCTCTAGTTTCCACATTTTCTGTAAACGTTGAAGAATGTATGTGTAGCTTACCTTCCTTCCAAGCAGTCTAATGATAAGGGAACGACGACATAGCCGCCTAAGCCTTTCTTTCTCCTGCTTAGTGACCGAGATATTGGGGCAGTCAGCTTCAGATTTGTCCTCGTCCATTTCATCATCGTTAGAAACGGGTTCAGGTTCATCCTCTGGTTTCTGTTTGTTCGCCCTTCCAGGCCAAGGCTGGTTGAGTTGCAGAGGAGGTAGTTTCCAAGGATCAGCCTTAGGGGCTATCATTTTTGTCGTTAAGGGAGTTTCTTGGACAATCTCCATCAACGGAGGGGTAAGCTGTCCTCAGGAGGAGATATCCCTCGCTTCGTCTTCTTGGAGCTACGAACGAGTATGTCGTGGTCCTCAGGCGACCGATGGGTCACAGCCGGGCGCCGGTGAGGACGTTTCGGATAGGGATTCCGTCACCGTCTCCATAATGTGATAAACCATCTTCGTTGTTCTTGGAGCTTTCTTGATTCACGTCATTTTTAAGTATACAAAATAATGTATCTTCATTATTTAAATAATATACTTTCAAATAATGTATATTCAGTACACAATTAATGTATATTTAGTATATTAAAAATATACATTTTATTTATGGTTTACATAACTTTGTGGACCGTGATACATTGAATAATGATTTGTATAAGGTGGATAAGTATCATAAGGTACATATTTACTATACTAAATATTAATTTTCATTTTTTGATGGTTCATTATTCGTATACTGAAAATTCATTATTTGATGTGCTTTTAAATAATAAAATTTTGGAAAAAGTGTCAAATTGGCCCCCTAAGTCAAGTGGATAGTGCAATTGGGTCACAGAAGTGAAAAAAGCTTAATTCAAGTCCCCTAAACCGGTAAAATTGTTCAATTAAGTCCAATTTGACCTGTTTATCAGGTTAAATCGATGTGGTGTTGACACGTGTCCTTCTTATTTTATTTTTTAAAACAAATATTTTTTATTTATTAAAAATTTAAAAAAAATATTTATTATAAATAAATAAATAAATATAAAAATTAAAAAAAAAAAAAAAAAAAAAAACAACCACAGCCGACACTTCCCTCTCCCTCTCGCAAGGCAGCTTGACGAACTCTAGCGAGACTTCCCTCCGACGAGCAGAGCAGCGGCCGGACAGCAGTAAATTGGCGAGCAGTAGATGGCGACCTCTGTTTCTTTCCAGCGAGGTAGCTGCGGCGGTCAGCAGCAACAACTCCTTCCCGGCGAAGCTTGATGGCGGTTAGACTTTTTTTCGGCGTGAGCAAGGGCGACGAAGCAGCAGCAATTCCGACACCGGCTGGTCCTCCGATGGTGGTGGAGCTGGTTTCCGTTAACGCTGGTGTCTTTTCCTTGGTGTGTCTGCTGGCGGCAGTGGTTAGACGATAGCAGACAGAGGGGACTGGAATGAGGGCGGCGACCAAAGCCATAGCCCTCATTCCAGATCTAGAAGACGGTCGTGGCCGTCCTACCGGACAGCCACGACTGTCCGTGAAGAAGACAACCACCGGCTGTCCGGCGCAGACAAGCGGTGACTGTTTTTTTTTTTTTTTTTTTTTTTAAATTATTATTATTATTATTATTTAATTAATTAATTTATAATAAATATTTTTAAATTTTTAATAAATAAAAAACATTTTCTTTTAAAATTTTAAATAAGAAGGACATGTGTCAACACCGCATCGATTTAACTTGATAAACAAGTCAAATTGAACTTAATTGAATAATTTTACCAATTTAAGGGACTTGAATGAAGTTTTTTTTTTTTTACTTAGGGGACCAATTGCATTATCCACTTGAAAAATAAAAATTTATTAATAATCCATATTGTAACGTGAATCATGGTCCACAATATAATTTGACATGTTTGGTCCGGTCAAAATTAGTTTTGTTTTTCTCTGGATCAGATGATTCAATTATTAGTACAAATTATAAAATAAAATAAAAATCAAAACGAAAGATAGAAAAGAAATCGAAATTTGAATATTTTAAAATGTGAATAATAATGCACCTATAGGCAGCCCAAGTTAAAATAAATCTAACCCTGGTTAACTAACCAAATCCCAAGGCTAGACAAATAACGCTAAGCGCCATTGCACCGGTTAGCGAGAAAGGTCCATGATTAAAATATGAAGATTTATTTATTATTTTACTCGCCGTGCAAAGATTCCGTTAACGCCGTCAATCAACATGCACGGGCCAAGCCTTCCACAGCGACCCCGCAACGGAATTCGTTCCACGGTTCAAACGAGGATGCCCTAGGCCGTCAGATCACAATCTAACGGCCACACGTGTAAACGGCGTTTCTGTACGCGAACGGCGTAGAGATAATTTTCGTTGTGTATATAATAGAGGACGAAAGAGGAAGAAGAAGAAGAAGAAGCTGTTCTGTTCTGTGCTGTTCTTTTTATAAAGTCTCCGTCTTCCTCCTTCACTTCTTCGGAAAATTCAAAGAAGAGATTAATTTCCTGGAAATTTTTTGGTGAGTGATTGTCTTCTGATTCTCTATGAGAAAACTGAAAACAATGTTTCGATTTTCCTTCAATTACAGAAAACGATCAAAATCGTCAAGGGAAAGTCTGTAATCGAATGCGGGTTTTGATATCTTTTGGTTGAAACTTTGTTGAAATGCTGAAATTCACTTGGTCGTCGTTTGATTTTTGATCTACAGATACAATTGGAAAAGGATTTGAGCTGATATTGACGTGGATTTGGGTTCAGATTCCTCGGCCGATTCCGGAGGTTACCTCACGAATTGAGTCTGTAAGGTTTGCAATCTTGCCTATCGCTGGATTTATTATTATTATTATTGTTTTCAGTTTTTTCTTGCGATTGAGCTACGTAATTGACTTGAGTTCCTCTGTGTTTTTTTTGGTTTTTCAGGTGCATTCTGATAAATCCGGGTGAGATATACAAGTTTATCGGAAGTTCTGAGATCAGATTCCCGATTGGAAGATCGGAATTGCCTAGCAACTTCGGTTATTGAAGCTCGGAAATGTCGCCATTCTACTGAAGAATCTCCACTAGCAAAGTTTGAAAAGTGAAGCAATCGTAATTCTGTTGTGGCTCCAGGTTGTTTGGCTGTGAATCCCAGGAGAAATCCCCTTGCAAGCTGATGGTTCTGTAATAATACAGGTATGAACTACAGCTCTTTGTGAAATTTGGAATTCTCAGCGATATCCTCTGCGTTTCTCACTTTATGTGATGATCTGAAACGGTTTGTTTTTTTTGTAGATTGAGGAATACGGCGTTTCGAGATTTTGACAGGATTTCCTGTTCTCATAGTTACGTCTGAATTGCTGATTGAACTCTGGAAAGAACATAATTTTTAGCTTTTTGCAAAGCTGAAGGTTTCAGGTAATGCGAGCTATTTAAAATCGCTTCATTTTTCTTCACCATCTTCATCTTTCCCTTCTCGTCGATCCTCTGTCGCTTGATTTTCCGGTAAATCCTTCCGCTCCTAATTCTTAGTTGGATCTTTAAACCGTAAGTAATTCCTAGAGTTTCCGGCGAAGAAACACCATCGGTTTTCGCTCTCCATGATTCCGGCGGAGAAACACCATTGAATTCTCTTTCTTACAGATATCGTGAATTCACAATTTTCAAAAGAAAAAAATTTATCTTTTCTGATGACAGAATGTCCTTATCTCTGAAGAGAAATCATCGATTTCATTACTTAACCAATTCCCATGGCATTCACTGGTTGTTGACCTTAAGATCTCTTTGACAGAAAATTATACCGGCAATCGTGTAACCTATCCGATGAACATACAAGATTTCTTTCCCCCATTTACCCAATCTTTGTGTTCGTAGAAGAAAAGGTGGTTTTTTGGGTTTATGAAATTTCCAGACATTTTTTTTGATGTGCCTTTGGTTTTGATTTAATTTTAACCGTGGTTAAATTGGAAATGCCGTAAAAGCTAACCACGGTTAAATTATTTACTGTAACAGGGTGTATATAGGCGGCAGATGGAGAAGAATTACAGAGATGGATTGCTGTTGAGGTCATCGAATCATCACCGGAGTGAAACCAGGTCAACGTCTAATACGACGTCGTCTGATTTCGTTTTGCAGTGGGGGAACCGGAAGAGGTTGCGGTGCATGAAGGTCCACAACAAGAATTCCGGCAGCGCGCGTGCCGAACACGATGATCTCAGTGAACCGTCCGGTTCGGCGCCGGCTCAGAGGACTTCCGGTCGGGCGGATCGCCGCGTTGGTAGATCCGACCCGAATAGGGACTCCTCGTACCATCAACAGCAGCACGGTAACAATACCGGCGTCAGTAACGGCTATTTGAACCTCCGTCAACGCGCGGCTTCTCCGTCTCATCGTATTCTCAGGTAATTTTTTGTTTTTTTCCTTCTCCTTTTCTGTGTTTCCTTTTGCATTTTTAACGCGTGATGATCACGTCCCGGTTTACATAATGTGTTCCGGCGAGTGTGTCGGCCGGGAAGTTAGACCTGACGGAAATAGTGAGGGAATAAAGGATGTTTGCAATTGAGTCGGTCTAACTTTTTTTTTTGGGGTGTGGAGTTTTGAGTGTCTGACGATTAAAGGTCTTCGATTGCATGGGATCATACGGTATAGTATATAATATAACTCGTGAAACTTTAAAAGAAATTATTATTTTTTTCAGCAAATAGGTGCGATAGTATATAATATAACTCGTGAAACTTTAAAAGAAATTATTATTTTTTTCAGCAAATAGGTGCGACTTATAAGTATAGAGTTTTATGTTAAGTAGGCAGTATTTGGGGAAGAGAGTTAAGGTTTCAACCCTCAGTAATGGCTTGGTTACTGTGATTTATATTCTCTTAAATGTTCGACCTGGTTACCGTGATTTATATTCTCCTAAGGGGTCGTTTGTTTCACGGAATGTCAGATTACCTTAGGGAATGTTAGATTGCTGGGAATGTTAGATTACTGGGAATGTTAGATTCCTGTGTTTGATTAAAATTGGGGTATGTAATATAGTCATGTTTGGTTCAGGGTTATCTTTTATTCACACACTATAATATCCTTAACATATTTTCATATATTTTAATATTTTTAAAAATTAAAATAAATAAATAACGGTATCATATATAATTACATGATTTTAAAATATTGAACTTGAAACAAAATTATTTTATATGCTAACCTAACATAATAAAAATAAAAAATATATAATTACAAAAATAATTATATATATATATATATATATATATATATATATATATATATATATATATATATGTGTGTGTGTGTGTGTGTGTGTGTGTGTGTGTGAAACTAACATACCCAAGGTTATCTTACATAACCTTAAAAATTGAAGGGAATCACATTCCCTTCAAAATCCTATGTGGAGGGAATGTGACATTCCTGGGGAATGTTAGATTCCCTGAGATAATATGAACCAAACATAGGAATGTGAGTTTTGGAATGTCACATTCCCTTGGTTATGTAATATAACCTGAACCAAACGTCCCCTAAATGTTCAGTCAGATTGAGGTGTGGAGTTCTTGGAATTGGAGAAGAAAGTTTTATGTTAAGTAGGGCAGAGAATGAGTAATGATGCCGTAAAAAACTGGACTTATTAATTGGAAAGTTTTTATTCCCAATTGTTAGTTTTCCATAATAATCCGATTTAAGATAAGATTGGCCTTGTGCTAAATTCCCCGGAGCTGTTGATTAGGTTTTGACAATTTTGTTGTAGTTGTGAGTTTGTCAAGTGGCGCATGTTACCACTTGGACCACGTTAATTGGTTTGGAGTGATTTAAAATAATTTCTGAGTGAAAATTGTTAGATATATCTTTTGTTTCGTAGCACACACTTGACTCAAAACTCCTCTAGATGATGTATATGTATTTTTTTAGGACTGATTAATTAACAACTTTAGTTATTTAGTTCAACTAAACTACTTAGTAAGACTAGTCAACTTACACACTGATTAATTAACAACTTTAGTTATTTAGTTCAACCAAACTACTTAGTAAGACTAGTCAACTTACACACTGATTAATTAACAACTTTAGTTATTTAGTTCAACCAAACTACTTAGTAAGACTAGTCAACTTACACCCTTTAATGTAAGACTCTAATATATATATTATAGCAGATAATCTTACAAAAACTTGCGACTATACTACTGTGCCATAATTTTAAATTATGGTTAGGCTTCTTGGTTTATAGCACTTCGATTTGGTCATATATTCACTGTTGACATTACAATTATACAATTGGATTTTAACTTTTTAACTTTTATTAAGACTATAATAAAGAGGAAATGATTTTTGGAGAGGGTGTTACTGTGGGTGGGGAGATGAAATATCATTTTTCTAATCTAACTAATATGGGTCATTGGGAGTAAATAAGGGAGCTTTTATTGCAAAATTATGTTGTTTCTTTTTTACGTTAATTAAAACCATCGCTATCGGTGGTATTGCCGTCCACCCGTATTGATGCCTGAAATCAATGGCCCACGCTCCTCTAAGATAAAAGATAAGATTACTCCACAGGAAAATTATCACTTTCTTTTCGAAAAAAAAAAATGCTATTTGCTTTATATAATTATATCCGGCTGCCAAATAAATTATTTATATATATATTTTTTTTATAGAATTAGACTTTGGACTTTGTTTTGTTTTTTTTTATTGGGGGTATGAATGACACCCGACCCAATTCTTCTTCCCTTAAAAGCAAAAAGGAAAAGTAGCAGAAGAAATTGGAAAGAAAAGAATAAAAAAAAATGTGTGAATTTACTATTTTAGTGTCCAACAAACACATCAAGTGGCAGTATTCGCGTGATTGAAAGCTCCTCTCCACCCCATATTTTATTATTAATTATTAATTCATTTGTTTTATGTGCCTTAAGAGTCATCATTAACTTTATTCCCATCCGTATAGTGGGAGAGAGAGAGGGGTCGGGTGATGTTGCGGTGGTTACATTACACAGCATCACATGTGAAGCTGAGTTATAATAAGTCGTCATATCAACGTTGGAAACTGTGGGACCCCCCTTCCCCTTTCCTGGATTTATGCCCTCCTTAATCTCTTGCCACGTACCCCCTTCCTCCTAGAATCTAAATCCGACGGCTCCCTCTCCTCCCAACCCCTCTTTCTTCTCTCTGTGTACTATATTACCTTTTTTTCCTCCTCTGCTGGACACGTTTGGATTCAGATCTCAGTCACACTCGCAGATACACTTTCTATTCGTCACCACAATCCATTTTCTTAATTTCTTCCCTGCGATCTAAGGCTTAATTTGGTAATTTGAATCGCATTTTTTTAATAAAGAAATTGTATTATTTAATTATTTATGTTTGTTTAAAGTAGTAATCTGAGATGACTAATATATTGGGTTTCTGTTTCTTCTCCTTTTAGGAATTCTGAGAGTTCGGTTGCTATGAGAGAACGGAGCAACGGGCTGAGGAATTTGGCTACTCCTGATAAAGGAGGTGCGCACGATAAGAGAGGCGGTGGTGGTGGTGCGCATAATAACAATCATACCAGGGCGAGTCACAATAATAATGATCACCACCACCACCACGGCGGCGCTGGTGGGTCGGTTTCATCGGAAACGGCCCATGAGAGCAAGAAAGGAGGGTCCTCCTCCGGCAGTGATGCAATTCCGGCGGTTTGGCCGCCTAAGTTCGTTATCGCGCTTACCAATAAGGAGAAAGAGGAGGATTTCATGGCCATCAAAGGATCCAAGCTTCCTCAGCGACCCAAAAAACGAGCCAAATTCATCCAGCGTACTCTCAATGTAACTTCTTATCTTCTTCTTATTTATTTATTCATTTTAATTATTAGTTTTAATTTAATCACTTTTTAATGATATTCACTGATTCTCACGCTATTTGTTACTCCGTATAATTAATTAATTAATTAATTAATTAATTACTAAGGAGTAATCTAGAGAATCCGTTGCAACTTGCAAGTCTAAATGCACATTAGAATTTTTACAGGAATTTTTTTTCTTTTAATTTTTGTTTTGATAGGGATACATCATATCTATTTGGTATCAAATTGATCTCATATGATAATGGAGAATCATGAAATAGTTGGGAAGCATTACTTTTATACGGTCTATAAATACTTATTTCATCTAAAATAAATATTATTTACTAAGAAGCAATATTACTTTTTGTGGTTTTTTTAAATGCTAATAAAGCATATTGAAGCACAAAGATGAGACTTCAATATTAATAAACAAAATAAAAAAACTAAATAATATGACTAATATATTTAACAAAATAGACCACAATATAATTTGCCGTGATGAGGGCAGTGGGTTCTTGAAAATTGTTTTACCATAGGACCTTACACTAATAATAGACCGACAATAATAGAGGTAAATTAGGATGGTTGGTGCAGAGAGAGCAGTGGGTTAATTATAATTATAATAATTATATATAATTATATATAAGACGGAGGAATTTGGCCTTTTCCTGTTAGGAGGACAGCGTGTGACATAGGTAGACACGCGTTAGCTAGAGGTTGGACTTATTAAAGCGATATTATCGTTTTGGTGGGAAGAAAAAAAAATTAGTAAAAATAATATTTTCTTTTTAATTTTTCTAGTGTAGGTGAGCCGAGTGTACATAATTATTGGCTACGTTATTTTGTTTTCTTTTTATTAATTAGTTGAGAGTTATAAAAGAAACTGTCTTTAACCCCTTTTTTTAATACTGTCTTTTTCATTTATGTCCCTATATTTTTGTTTAAGTTGAATTGAATTTTTTTTAAAATATAAATGTTGTAGTTAATTAGTCCTGGAGCATGGCTATGCGATCTTTCCCTCGAGCGGTATGAAGTAAGAGAGAAAAAGGTCTCCAAGAAGGTACTAAAACAATATAATGTATCCAATTAAGTTTTTGAACTTTTAGGATATCTATATCGCGAGACTTTTTATGATTAAATTTGTGGTGGATTATCTGAAGTCACACAATTTGGTATCAACTTTAAATTTGATTTTTGGGACCAATTTATGTTAAAAGTTTTTTGTTTTAACGATTTTATTATTATGTGTATATTTCAGAGACCTAGAGGGTTGAAGGCAATGGGAAACATGGATTCCGATTCAGAGTAGAGTGAGCGTTATCCGAAAGAAAAAGTTGGTGGATTAAGTAATGTATTTGATGGATTTTGAGGTGGAGAAGAAGAATGAATATGATAAATACTTGGCCTTCTTTTTTCCTTGTCTCTTTTAGATGGGCAATTAAATCAAAGCAGATATGTAGATAAGAAAGCAAGTCCCGTCACAGGAACCCTGCACCTTTCCGCTATTTATTTTTCGAAAACGAAAACGCTCTTTTAATTTTGAATTTAAAGTAATAAAAGCAAAAAAATAAATAAATAAATAAACAAAAAAAAAAAAACTCAAAAATATTTACATTATAGAGCAGAACTCCAATAAAATGATTGTGGTTTTTGTAAGGATGGTAAATATTTCTCTTTAAATTTTTTAGTAACTTCAGTAAAATGATTTTTAAAATGTGGATAGGAGTGTTCTGGTCCAACCTGTTGTAAATAAATAATAACAAATATATTTCAACATTACTAAAAGTATTATACTATGATAATATCTTTTTTGTACATTCTTTGTTGATATTAGCACATTCTTGAGTTTTAAATGAAAGACTTGAAAAATCATTATTATCTCAACCTACAAACCGAGAGTATCTCTTGAATGAATTTTTTACACCAGTAAATCTATCTTGAAAAATGCCTTTGACACGTTTTATATGAATATATATCATACATGGATAAAGTTGCTAGTAATATTTAGTGCTCCTACAATAAAATATTAGAATAATGTTTAACATATCCTCCGATATTTTTGAGGTACAAAGATTTTGACATTTATGTTAGAAACTAATATATGATTTTGATGGGCTACTTGGGTATTGGCTATTTTATTTGATCCCTATAATGTCAAGTAATAAACGCTTCACAAATGTCAAAATTCAACATGTCAAAATTCAACTTTCATAAGCTCCAAAAGAGTCATGAGATTATTATACAGAATGTTCGCTTGAGTGACACTCTAACAAATTTGTTCACAAAATCTTTTTTTACACTTATGTTTTTATAATAGAAATTGTAGACGGTAAAGATTATTATATTTGAGTAGAGTGACATTTACATGAATTAATCTTGAAGATTGGATCAGACCAACAACTGTACTCTTTTTTCTTTGATTGAGTTTGCATATAATTTTCTTAATTAAAGATTTTTTAATGAGACAGCTAATGCAACATATGAACACACATATATAATGTATTATTTTTCTCAACTAGGTTTTCCCATTAGTTTCTTCTAGTAAGATTTTTAATGAGATATAAGTATGATATAATAATGTCCAAGGGGATGTTATAAATAAATATATGTGGACATTATTAAGATATTATTATATTATAATAATACATCTTCATCATAGTATTATAGTTTTACTGAAACTCTGAGTGTATATATTGGGTTGAATAATGTATAATAAAAGATTGATAATTCTCTCTGTATTTCTTTTTTTGTATTTCTTATTTGTCTTTTTATCTTACTCTATATTGTAATGTCTATTGAAGATGTTTTGTTCTCAAAAGATCTCTCCCTAGGGTTTCCGCTAGGGTTTTTCTCCTTCATCCTTGGAGCGCCGAGGTTTTCACGTTGCTGTCCGAACCTTCCCTACGGTGTAACGCCGTGTTTCTATACTCTCTGGTTATGGAAGCTCCGGCGCGAAGTGGTGCGGTCGATGGATTGACAAGACGATGGGCAGATATAGTCCTCGAGGAGGAGGGCGTGGTGTTCGCACCGGTCGGGGGTGTTGACGTCGAGGAAGCTGCGGCAGTGGAGGAGACGTGGAGGCTAGTCGGACAATTCCTGACAACGAAGATCATTAAGCTCGAGTTTATGAGTCAGGTTATGGCTTTAGTGTGGCAACCGGTAAAGGGCGTGCAAGTGTCTGAGATTCAACAAGGCTTGTTCTTGTTCGTTTTCTATCATGAAACTGATATGCAACATGTCCTTGAGGGTGGACTGTGGTCTTTTGAGAATCATACTCTGGTTACGGTACCTCTTGATGCTGTTGATATGTGGGTGCAAGTTCATGAGCTCCCTCTTGGATATACCTCTGATGTGATCTTGGAGCAAGTTGGAAATTTTATGGGGAATTTCGTTAAGATTGACGACAGGTTTGCTGATGCACCATGGAAGACTTTCTATCGCATTAGGGTTTCGATTCCTGTTGCGAAACCGCTAAAGCGCCGTATGAAGTTTATGAAACGAGATAAGACGACTTGCTGGGAGAATTTTAGGTATGAGAGGTTACATAATTTTTGCTTTTTCTGTGGTATGCTTGGATATTTGCATATGTACTGTTTCAAGGCCCGGGACTTGGCTCTAACGGTAGATCAATACCCTACACTGATGATATGTGAGCCGGGTAGATGAGGGGACCGGCGAAAGGTGGGTGCGCCGTGGGTTTTGGATAAGGACGGGAAACCGGTACAACCGGCGGCGACCGTGGCTTCTGGACTGCCAGGGGGGTCTGTCCGCCGACGTTGCGGCGTGTTTGGATCCTAGCCAGTGGGGGCCCGAGCCGGTTGTGGTGGCGGCGATGAAGAGGAGGCGGGAAGGTGATGGGGAATGCACGCGTGCGGGTGATGGTGAGCAGGATGTTATGATGACAGAGAATTCAAAAAACTTGTTTATGGCAGGTTCTAGTTCCCAGACCCGCCCATCATCATGAGTACTCTAAGTTGGAACTGTCGTGGCTTCGGAAATCCACGTACAGTTCGCGAGGTGGTGGACATGGTGGTCCGAAAGAAGCCCGAGATTGTGTTCTTGATGGAAACTATGGTTGAAAGGATGCATGCTGAACGTCTCCGTATCAAACTTGGTTTCAAAGGATTATTCTATGATGATAATGCAGGTCTGAGTGGTGGTTTGGCATCGTTATGGAAGAAGAATAATACTGCTAGTCTTTTGAGCTTCTCCAAAAATCATATAGATGTGGAAGTTCGTGTTAGTGGTAAAGTGTGGCGTATGACGTGCTTTTATGGTTTCCCGCAACGAGAGAGGAGGAGGGAATCATGGGAGCTGTTAAGGACTCTAGGTGGCAGATCTTTGCTACCTTGGGTTGTGATAGAGGACTTTAACGACTTACTCTATCAGTATGAGAAGAAGGGAGGGAATCCACATCCGGATAGTCTCCTACGCGGTTTTGGGGAGGCTGTGGATGGCTGTGGTTTAGTATAGATGGCTATGAGGGGTCATCCTTTTACTTGGGAAAAGAGCATGGGCACTTGTAACTGGATTGAAGAGAGGCTGGATAAGGTGCTAGCAACGACATCATGGGGAGAGGTGAATGGCCATGCGGATGTGGAAAATATATAGACTCGCACTTCTGACCACTCGGCTCTCTTCCTTTGTATCAATACACCACGCATGCGAGGAGGGAGGGGCCCGAGGGGGTTTAAGTTTGAGATGGCTTGGCTTTTCGATGAAGGATGTACGGATGTGGTTGAGGCAACCTGGCATGAGGGGAGAACTGAGGGGTTATTGAATTGTCAACAACAATGTGGAGACAGTCTAATACGGTGGGGTGGGGAGCATTTTCAGAAATTCGGGGACCGTATAAAACAATTACGGAAAAAACAGGATGATATTAGACACAGACGAGATTCGGAGGCAGTCACCGAATTCCGCGGTTTGGAGAACCAATTATCCCAGCTAGAGGCCTAGGAGGATATTTTCTGGAGGCAGCGAGCAAAGCAGCACTGGCTTCGTGGAGCTGATGCAAACACAAAGTTCTATCACATGTATGCTTCTGCTCGAAAGAAAAAGAATTTTATTGATAGGTTGAAAACTGATGATGGGGTGTGGGTGGAAGGGGAGAATATGAGCTCTATTATTGTGGATTACTTTAAAGAAATTTTTGCTACTGGTAACTCTGTATGCAATGATTCTTTATTTGATAACTTCGCCCCACGGGTAACCCCGGCCCAAAACGCTTCTCTCTTGCGACCTTTTGATATCGATGAGGTCAAAGAAGCAACCTTTTCTATGTTCCCTGGTAAGGCGCTGGGACCGGATGGTATGAATCCGGGATTCTATCAACATTTTTGGGATGTGGTTGGAACGGATGTGTCTGATTTTGTTATTAATTCTCTTAACTCGTGCGTGCTTCCTGATGGCTTAAATGATACAAATATTGTGCTTATCCCTAAGAAAAGTGTGCCTGAGACTGTAGCAGACATAAGACCGATTGCTTTAAGTAATGTTTTATACAGAATTATGGCTAAAATGATATCTAACAGAATGAAGCCACTTATGGGAGACTTAATCTCGAATCCCAAAGTGCTTTTATTCCTGGAAGATTAATCACGGATAATATTTTGGTGGCATCAGAAATAGGCCATTATTTGAATAGGAAGCAGTGTGGCTTAATGGGATGGGGAGCTCTTAAATTGGATATGGAGAAAGCCTATGACAGAATGGAATGGAATTTTCTTAGGAGAATGCTGGGAGCGTGGGAGTAATGGGGTTTGATGACAGATGGATTAATTTGATTATGTTGTGTGTAACTACTGTGACATACAATATTATGGTAAATGGCAGGACTAGTGGCCAGGTCATCCCTACCCGTGGTCTCAGGCAAGGAGATCCTTTATCCCCTTACTTGTTTATTATTTGTGCAGAAGGTTTGTCTATGTTATTACAGAGAGCTCAGATGACAGGCATGATACATGGATGCAGAGTGGGGAGGGGAGCCCCTCCAATCTCACACATGTTCTTTGCAGATGACAGTCTGTTATTCTTCAAAGCGAATATTCAGGAAGCCAATGTGATTAAACAGTGTTTGATAAGGTATGAGAATTTATCTGGCCAAAAGGTGAATTATCATAAATCTAATATCAGTGGCGAATTGTTTGGGAGTAGTCCAATCTCCTAATTTTGGAAAATATCTTGGCCTCCCGCCATTTATTGGAAGAAATAAGAGAGCTGTTTTTTCATATGTTTGAAGATAAAATCAAACAGAGGATTGGGACTTGGAACAAAAAACTGCTCTCTCAGGCAGGTAAGGAGGTGCTTTTGAAAAGTGTGGCTCAATCTATGCCTACATTTTCAATGAGTGTTTTTTTGCTACCTGGAACAGTTTGTTTATCTATTGAAAGAGTGATGAATAGATATTGGTGGGGAAAGGGCGCGAATAAGAGAATTCATTGGAAAGCCTGGAATAAGTTGTG